ATATTTTGTTTTTTGTCTCAACATTAATCCAAATTATATTTTTACCCCAAAAAAATTTTTGCCATTTTTTATAAAAACTTTTGTAATTTATAATATGAAAAACAAATGTTTAATTTACTAGTGTTTATTAAAACACAAAACGTCCGTTATAAAATCCAAATATTGACAGACAACCACTTTTTTGCATCTGTATATCTAATATATTTTACATAAAAATGAAGCTAATTTTTGTTCACTGTACAACATTAAAAGACTGTATTTATATTTTTAATTTATTATTATTAATATTATTTTTTTTGTTTAATTATATAAAGTTTCAAGTTAAAGTCATTCCGAATAAGTGTGCAACTTTATTTTTTCTTTGTTTTTTATTCACAACAAAGGTGAAACTCAATTTTCAACGATAACAAAAACAATAACAAAAAGTAGAATTAGGTTATAAATCAACCTTAAAATATAACTCTGTAATTAAATGATAAATTCAACTGCTTGTTCTAATAAAAAAACGTTAAAATTCCAGAATTCCAATTGTCATACATAACAAAAACACGGTGTTGTATATCGATTGTGGATGGCGCAAATGTTAAACATTACTTTATAAAAGAAAATAATGAGACAAGCCAATTTGTGTAATTCAAAGACCTTCTCGCTGCAAAATTTTCAATAAAAAAAGGATGTTGAATGGTACAAACCAAAAAACCAATTGAGAAAATTTGTGCAACTTTAGTTATAGTTTAGTTATAGTATTTTAATTAAAGTAATAGTTTTAAAGAAATTTGTTTGTGTTTTTTTGTTTTGATTATAAAATACATATATTTTCTTATTATAATTATACTATAAACAAAGTTGCACTGACATGTCAAAGTTGCACGGTTTTAAGAATGACTTTAATTGAAAAAAATACATTTTAATAATTTAACTTTCTCTTATAAAGACAATAAAGTTAAATTGTTTTATACTTTATTTACTTAACAACAAATACCGATTTGTTGTTAAGCTTTCATCGAAAAATGATAAATCAAATACAGCCAATTATCAAAATTGTATATTTTAAATTAATATTTGGTTTAAGATAAATGTTTATATATCGTGTTCAATTGTTTTATATTAAAATTATTTTATAAACGTTTTAAGATATATAATAAGTAAAAAAGTATTGGAAATTTTTTATAATGACAGAAATTAATTATTTAAGTTTTTTAGTGTTTATATTTTTTATTACCTGATTCCCAATTATCAGATAAATTGATTAGTATTTTTTGCGAAATGAACAACGTTTGGAGATAGTACAACGTTAAAAGACTGACACTGTTAACTTAGTTTAGTAAATATTTAAAACATTCAAAGAATAATATCTGTTAAAATTTTTACATGATTTTTATTTTTTGTATATTTTGCATTAATTAATGTATAACAAAATTTACTATTTAATATAATATTATTCAGAACAAGTGTTTTGATTTATGTCACAAAGAATTTATATTCTTTTTATTAATATATAAATCCAAGCAAAATAACACAGAATATGGGTAATTGTTTTAGTAACCATTTTGGCAAAAACAAACGTGTTTGGGTTTTAATGATAGGTCTTGATGCTGCTGGGAAAACGACAATATTGTACAACCTAAAATTTAACGAATATGTTGATACTATACCAACAATAGGATTTAATATTGAGGATGTTCACTACAAAAGAATCGTTTTTAATGTGTGGGATATCAATGGAAGCTCAGGTATACGACCATTGACACGTCATTACTATAGTAAAACACAAGCTATAATTTATGTGATAGACACAAACGACCAGGACCGCATTAATGAAGCAAAAGAATTTGTTCATCAGTTTTGTAAAGATGAAGAAATCATGAACGTGCCAATTCTTTTCTATTTGAATAAAATTGATTTGCCAAATGCTTTGGCTAAACAAGAAATCATTGATAAAATGGAACTTCAATCAATAGTCGGACATGAGTGGGCGTGCCAAGAATGTTGTGGAACAACTGGGTATGGCTTATATGAAGGACTCAACTGGTTATATTCAAAATTCATTTAATTTAGTATTATTATTATAAATATAAGATCTTAAAATTAAATGAAAATCAAATGTTAGTTCTATTTCATGTATAACATTTTTTTGTAAATAACATTTTCAAGAAGCGAACAACCTTTAAAAACACTCTCCAACTTTTTGAAACTTTTTAGTAAAAAAATTTCTTTGAAAGAAACACACTCACTGAACGCAAATTTTTTGATTTGCCATTTTTTAGAATAGACAAAATGAGTAGATAATAACATTTTGAAAACGTTTCTC